AGGCCCCTGTAATCACAGGATTAAGACTTCTGAGGCAAGCTTGGGCTATCCCAACAGTTTCAGGCTAGCCTGGGTTACAGAGTGAGATACTGTCTCAGGGCATGCAAGAACTCGAGAGACGGCTCAGTAAGTGTGCAAGCTTCATGCGTGCAAGCACGGGGACCTGGGTTTAGATTTCAGCATCGCACGAGCCTAAAACCCCAGCACCGGGGAGTGGAGATAGAAAGACCCATAAGGTCCCTGACCAGATAGTGTAGCTGAAGAAAATGACAAGCTCCAGGTTTAGCAACAGATGCTGTCTCAGTGAGATGAGCTGGAGAGTGGGAGAGCCCGGCACCTGACTTCCTCCTCTGACCTCTGTGCATGGGCATCAATCTCTTAAGGTTCTCCTAACATTGGCAATTTTGGGGTGGTCAAAGCATTTAACCACTCATTAAGTACAAATGACCATTCCAAACCATGTTCTTCCCCAGGTCAAACAAACCCAAGGCTAAGGGTATTCCTATAAAACAGTGGTTCTCAACCTTCTTAATGCTACGACCCTTTAATACAGTTCCTCATGTTGTCGTGACCCCTCCCCCACCGGTACCATAAAATTATTTTTGTTGCTACTTCATAACTGTAATTTTGCTACTGTTATGAATTGTAACGTAAATGCCTGATATGCAGGATTTCTGATATGGAACCCCCACGAAAAAGGGTCATGTGACCCTGAATGGGTCGCGACCCACAGGTTGAGAACCGCCGCTATAAAACCAGCATCCTCACCCCCCTCATTCCTCCACCCAAGATGTTTTCTAGTCGCAGATGAATTTGGACATGTAAATCTGTGCAGGCCTGGAACCAGACAGGCCTGTGGGCAAGAGCGTGAGTTAAAATGGGAAGTGTTTCTTAGCAATGGCTGGCTCTGTCTCGGGGAGCCAGCTGCCCGCAGCCGGCAGGTGCCAGATCCCACGTCCGCGCGCTGCCAGACTCTGGCAGGCCTCACACCTTCTGCTGCTCTTTGCGCATCTCCTGATCTGTGGCTCGCAGTTTCTGCAACAGCTCTGTGATGTTCAGCTCCAGTTGCGTGTTCTGCTTATGGAACCGCTCCAGTTCCGCTTCCATCTAGGGAGGACCAGGGGATGGAGGCATGAACACGGAAGTTGGGGATGAAAACTGTGTTTGAGAGCAGACACCTTTCAAAGAGGATTCCCAGCACGGTATTTCTTCTCAAGTTCCCAGCCATGTCCTCTGTCCTTGCTGCTCGCCACCCTAAAAGCTCCCCTCTTTGCTGGTACCACGTCCCCCCGGGGTCCTGGGTGTCTGTGGTCAGGCTGCGAAGGTTTCCTCTTAGTGGTCACCCCTTCTCCTAACCTCTCAGATTCCTCTTTTCGTGAAATCTTTCTAATTGAGTCTCTCTAACTCTTGGGTTCTCAACCCCTGCTGAAGGCAGGTCCCTCCAGAGAAATACCTCCCTCACCTGATTTGGAAGGTTACAGGAGTGGACCTTGACCCTCAGGGGACACAATCATTCTAAATGGGAAGTTGAGGCTTGTTTCTAAAGCAGAGAGTTTTGAGGGACCAGACTGGCATGTGGCCACCTTTTGATCTAGGACATAAAACAGGGGAGAGCTAAGAAGGACCCCCAGCCTGATCATCAAAAGCTCACAAAAGGTCCAGCCCCCTCTTCAAAAAGATGACCGGGGACGCCAGCGAGCATTTGAAGGATCTGTCTTACCCAAGGCACATTTGGTTCAGGTGAGACTGGCTGTGGAGAGACCCAGTTCCCACTCAAAGGGTGATGGCTGATGGCAACCCCAAATCTGACGGCTCTGGTACTCATGGTTGCGCTATGGAGGCTCTGGTTGTTTCCGGAAGAAGGGATGTTTGCTGTTTTGTGTGTAGGAGGAAGGCAGGTGGAATGCCCCACCTCATCTATTCCAGGCTCTACTATCACATTTTAAGGTTCCTGTCAACCTTCTCGAGATCCAGGAAACTTCTAAGAAGCTAATTCCATGTTCTTGGACACCGAGGAACGCCTCTTTATCACAGGAGGCCATATATTAGACTAGCCCTCTAAGGCAATGCCTGACATACGGATGGACTCTGTGAGCATCTGATGGAGGAAGGACCAGTAGGCACCTGTGGCGGGCAAAGAGCATGAGAGTGAGGGGTGGGAGGGGGAAGCAAGAACTGCCCGCCCCTGGAAGAGGCATGGCAGACTGCGGAGAGCCTCCTTGTAGAGGACACACAAGAGTGGGGCTTTGCTAAAGCAAGAATGATCACCAGGAAGGTGGCTCAGTGGTTAAGAGCACTGGTTTCTCTGGCAGAGGATCTGGGTTCAGTTCCCAGCACCCACACGGTGGCCCATGGCTGTCTGTAACTCCAGTTCTAGGGGATCTGACATTCCTTTTTGGCCTCTGTGGGAGCCAGGAAAACATGTGGTGCACATGTATGCATTCCAGGCAAAACACTCTTACACATAACATACACAACAAAAGTCAGTGAGCACTGTGGAAGGCTAGGAACAGGGCTGATGAGGAGGTAGTTTGTGTCCTAGAAGTCTCCGGTCTAAAGGGATGAGAGAACTGAGTCAGAGGTGGCTATGTAACGGATTAAACATTATCTGTGGTTGAGGCAGAAGATGCCCTGTGTGCACCAGGGAGTTGAGCATGTGCCTACCCCCAGGAAGGGGCACTTTGGCTGAACATTAATAGAGTCCTGTTTCTCAATCTGTGAATCTGGACCCCTTTGGGGTTGCATAACAGATATCCATATATATCAGATATGCAATATCTAGATATTTCCATCACAATTCATAACAGTGGCAAAATTACAGTTATGAAGTGGCAACAAAACAACTTTATGGTTGGAAGGACATCACAACATGAGGGACTGTATTAAAGGGTCGCAGCTTCGGGAAGGTTGAGAACCACTGCTCTAGAGAGAGTGTTGGAGAACAGAGCAGGAAAGAGACTAGTCGGCAGAGCGCAGCCTTCCTACAGAGGACCGGTGGGTGGGTAGCCTGGTGCATTTCTGCAGGCTGGCACTGGTCCAGATGACTGCGAGATGGCACAGCACGGAGGCAAGCCGAGGGCCCACCACACTAAGGTCACCAAGCAACCTCGCCAGGAGCAGCAGGAGCAACTGGTATGGGGGGGGGGTCCAGCATAGAGGTTTGTTCTATCAGAAGAGAGAAAAATAGAGCCCAGGAGACTAGTTAGGCGGTTGGAAGAGAGAAAAGGCGCCCCTTATATTCAGGGCCTCCGAGGGTCAATCCTAACCCAGCAGTGAGGGAGTGGGTTAGGGCGGAAGTGACCCAGGTCTGTATTCTTTGCCTTTCCTCTCTCCCCTACGGGCAGGCCTCACGTGACTTCAAGGATATAAATATAAACTGTAAAATATGTAAAGTGTCTGGCTGGAAAACCAGAAGGCAAACCCAGGATGTGGGAACCAACTCCTCTTTCCCAGCATGGACATTCCATCCACTTTTCCATGTTATTCATGATGACAATTCTCAGTGGGGAGGGGTGGGAGAGTGGAAGAGGCATTTGCCCCCCAGCGGACATCTGGCAGTGTCTGGGGATGTTTTGGTCTTAACTTGGGGGGGGGGAGCTTCTGGCGTGGAGAGAGCAGAGACACAGTGAGTGCTAACACCCTCTACAGCATATGGGACAGCCCCTGGCAGTGCAGGATCAGTCATCCTAGAACACAGATAGCTCTGAGAAACCTTACTAGAAGAACAAATAAATGGGTTGGAATGAAAACCACAAGAATCCTGAAAGAGATTCTTTTTCTCCACGGATGGAAGCAGGGGAAGTGTATGCGAAGGGGGCAGCTTAACCAAGGCTGGTTACATGTTCATTCACATGCTCTGTGCACAAGCTGAGGGCTTGAACCTTCCTTCCCATAGGAGAACTTAGCCTGAGATCTGCAGTGGGTAATTCTGGATGTGCCACTGTCTCCAAAGGAAAACCAGGTCCAGATAACAGCCCTGAGCTACTGACGTAAAGACTGGGCATAGGGTGTGTGAAAGGGTTAGCTAGGAAGGTCCCTGCCCTAGTCAACCTCAAACAAGTACATTCTCTGCTTAGAGACAAGGTCATGCTCAGCCCCGTTTCTGCCAGGAACAAGTGTGTTGATCACAGTGCCCTCACAGATGCCCTTATAAAAGAGTCCTGAAGGAGTGGCCACTCTGCCTTTGCCCTTCTACAGTGTGAGAACACACAGAAGCCACTGTCCCTGAGACACAAACCCTTCCCTACACAATCTTCTGATGCCCTGATCCTGGACTTTCAACCTTCAGGACAGTGAGAAAAATGTCTGTTCCCAGGCTGAGCTATTCTGCTACAGAACGGACAAAGACGGTTGCCATTCCTTGGCCCTGAGGTCACCAGCGTATGGCAGGAGGTCCCTAGAAGGCGGCTCTGTGGTCAGCTGTGTGTAGAGAGAGCACCTTGCAGACAGCCCTGGGGAAGCCAGGACCATCCCCAGAGATCCCCATCTCTGGGACCCCTACTTGGTTTCTTTGCTGAGCACACCAGCATCACCACGGCCCATGGACGTCTGGGTAGGTAAGGATGCTGACAGCAGCCACACTCCTTTAGCGTAAGCATCTAGAGAAAATGGAAGGGAAAGTGGGGGCCCTTTTTTACCAGGCAAAGTGTCTTTGAAGAGGGGACAGCTAAGCTGAGACAGGGAAGGTGAAAAGCTGGTCACATGACAATCCAGGGGACAGTCTTCCAGGCAGAGGGGACCCTACCACAGAGATCCTAAAATGGGAGAGCTTGGCTTTTAGAAACTGACAGAAAGCTGGTACTCCAGGCCAGGAAAGCATGAGATGTGACTGGAGAGAGGCACAGAGCCTTTGGATTGCATTCTAGTGGGGTGGGACACCATTAAGGATTTTGTACTCTGTGGAGGCCAGGCTGTAGCCCGAGGCAAGTCCAGATAAGACTGGTGGAGGGGGCTGGTGAGAATGTTCAACAGACAAAGGCGCTTGCAAAGCCCGAGGACTTGAGTTCCATCTCTGGAACCCACATAGGGGAAGGAGAAAAGCAACTCTTGCAAGGCGTCTTCTGCCCTCTGCATGAGGTGCTGTGGCCAGTACACCCCACCACTTAAGTAAAATGAAAATAAATTAGTGTTTCTTTGTTTCTTTCTTTTGTTTTGTTTCTTTCAGCAAGTAGAATTCGTTCCCTCTCTTGTGTCTCACAGAATTTATGACTTGCTGGTAACCCAAAGAGTGCAACGGAGGGAATGCTGTGTGGCTGCCAAGGTTAGGTCAAACAGACAGGCAGTTCCCTGCCTGGCTCTGGAGGGGGGGGGCCCCGGGGGGGGGGGGGGGGGCTACGGGGGGGGGGGACGGGAGGGGGATGAGGTGGGGGCGGGGGGGGGGGGACGAGGGACACTTTTCCTGAGCCCCCTGGAGGCCTGTTCAGGGTAACTGCAGCAGGGAAGAAGTATTGAGTTTGAAATCTTACTGGATGGGTGCTGGTGATGCTTTTGGAGAGTTGAGAGAAAGAATCAGAAAAGACTTATATTTCTTTGGACACGGGAATTGAGAGAAAGAATCAGAAAAGACTTATATTTCTTTGGACACGGGAGTTGAGAGAAAGAATCAGGAAAGACTTATATTTCTTTGGACACGGAAATTGAGAGAAAGAATCAGGAAAGACTTATATTTCTTTGGACACGGGAGCTGAGAGAAAGAATCAGGAAAGACATATTTCCAATTGACTGTGAAACAAACTGGATAGAATGGGAGGGAAAAAAATCAAGAATAATTTTGGCGGAAAATATCAACAATTCGATTTTAGGTCATCATGGTCTCCAAATTCTAGCTGTTTTCTACTCAGTGGGAGAACAATGGGTAAACAGAATGTCGTAAGAAAATGTGCAGGAGCCCAGGGCTAAAAGGCACACAACTGGGCCACTGGACTTTAGAAATCTTGTCAGCTAGCCTGACTTGTAATCTCTCTCCTTTATCCTGTTTGTTCCCTAGGACGGATTCTTAATTATGTCACTCTGGGGTTTAAGAGCACTTGGAGACTTCTGAAGTCCAAACAGCAGACCTTGGCCTAGGGCCCCAGCAGTATCCCAGTTTGAGAAGCAGTGTGTGGCGCTTCGTGGTAAGAGTACCATTGGCTGAGTACACAGTGCCCCCTAGTGGCCAAAAATCTTCAACAGCTGCACCTCCCATTTGTCTCTACAATAAGACTGCCTGTCCCCGGCTCACCCCACCTCCGCCCCCAGGACCCCAACACAGTCCATCAAACACAAGCTAAACCCCCACCTAACTTGCTTTTGGAAGCTGGAAGTCGCACATGCCTTGGCTGTGAGAAGGCTTTTCTCTCAGTTTCTCTGAGCCAGTGCGCGGCAGGGATAGAGGGGACAGAGGCCCGAAGGGCAGGGTGTGTGAGCGCTGGCCCTCACCTCTTGGATCTGCTCCTTCATCACTTTTATCTCGTTCTCCCGAGGTTCTATTTGCTTCTTCAGCTCCTTTATTTTGTAGTCGAGGACAAACTTGAATTTCTCTAGTTCTTGGTTCTTCTTCTTCAGGTCATAAATCCGTTTCTCCTGGAAGTGAGACGAGAGAGAACCAGCAGGGACTAAGGGCACATGGAACCTCTCTGGAGTAGAAAACACAGAGCCTCTGACGCTGCAGGAGGCCACAGACTTCTGGCTGGGGATGCAGCCAGACGCAGGCAGGCCAGTACAGGCAGCAGTGCGGACTCCACAGGAACTCACTCCCTTTGCTGCGGGTTGTGGAAGAGGGTGTCTCCCATCACACGCTGTAGCTTCTCCTGCATTATGGCCTTGGTGCACCTCTGTCAGCAAGCAGAATTAGTTCCCCTCTCTTGTGTCTCACAGGATTTATGACTTGCTGGCAACCCAAAGAATGCAACGGAGGGAATTGCTGCATGGCTGCCAAGGTTAGGTCAAACAAACAGGCAGCTCCCCGCCTGGCTCTCCCGGGACGGGATGTTTGCAGTGGTGGAGGCTAGGTGCTGTGTAGGAGGCTTCTGCACCCTGGGCCCTCTGGATCGAGAGAGCACATTCAGGGCTCTATAGCTGAAAGACTCAAATGGATAGAGATGGGCACGTGGAAGAAGGAGCCACTGTGGGCCTTCATCTTCCAGCCTCTAGCTGTTGAAGGCACCCCCCAGTTTTCCCAGCTGAGTTTCCGGACATTGGGGTCAGAGACCAGCCACCCTGTGGGACCTTGTCCAATTCCTGCCGCTGACAGGATAGCAACACAGCTGTTTGTTGGGACCGCTGGGTTTTCAGGCTGTAACTGGAGCATGGGTCAACCGAGCAAACCTCGACAGGATGACATTTTCCCGCTAGAGCTCTGAGAAAGATCCAGTCCCTATCCTTAAGGTGGAAGAACACTGGCTGCCAGAGCAGATAAACACACTCCCAAAATGTGATGTGTGGTAGAAGGGAGGGAGACACAGGCATCGTGGTGGTTTGGATTGCAGCGGCAGAGGGCAACCCACTTCCGTGTGATGGGCTAGCTCAAAGGGAAGTTAGATAGGAGGGTGAGTGGGAAGAGGAGAGGAGAAAGGCAAGGCTTTTGCCTGCTGACTTCCAGAGTTCAAAAGTCATCCCGGGGGCCAGAAGTTGGCAAGCTAAGCCTAGGAGCCAAACTTGATCTGCTGCCTGTTTTATTCCACTTTAGCTGGAACATAGCCTAGCACATTTCCGTCTGTTTTGTTTCTGGGTGGTCTCATATGTGGTGTCCAGAGCAGATCAGTGTAGACAGAGACCATGAGGCCTGGTCATCTCATGCTTTGTAGACTGAGTTTGCTGACCTCTGCTGGGGGCCAAGGGAAGCTACTGAAGGCCTTTCAGTGGGAGAACAACTTAGCTCTGCTCGCACTGTCTGCTGTGCTGCTGGGGACCGGCATGGGAACTGGGAAGGCTACTGAACTAAGAGGGGTCATGAGTGTCTGCATTGGGAGCACTTGGTTTCTTTCTTATTCCCTGCCCCTTCTCCAAAGCCTACAGTATATACAAGACTTCCCGCGTAGGAACAGCAATGCAGACACTAGCTCACCAAATCCTTACAAGCTCTCATGGCTCAGGAGAGAACAGGATGGCTTTGAGAAGGTGCCCAGGGCACAGAGTCTGGTCAGCAGAGGGGCCTGTGCCAGAACCTACTTATCTAACACTGACCGCCCATGTGTGACCGGTCACAGGAGAAGCCTGCCTGGCAAGGCAAAAGGGGCAGAGTGGATGGAGAGGTGGGCATTGAGTCTGGGTTTGCTCAGGAGGACAGCAAATTCTGGATGTTGTGGAGGTATGCCCAGAGAAAATATATGTGCCTGATAGCTGAGTATTCTGTACAAAAGGCATTCATTCCCATCGTCCTGGGTTATCCAGTAGTCACAGGACCAAGACTTCTGACCAGCAATAGCAATATGGGCAGCGTGGCAGGGGAATTACCCTCAGTCCATAGAGTGAGCCATCCTAGGATGCCTGAATCAATGGAGAGCAGGGATCTGGTGGCTCAGGTTCTCACCCGAGGTCTGTCCCCGACAAACTGGGAGACCTTGGGCAGTAAACTCAGCCTTGTGGAACTCGGCTTCATGAGACACAACCCTGGGTTGTTCATGCTGCAAGGTTGTTGCTAGAATTGAGTGTGATGTGTTGGCTTGAATTAGCTCCATGTTACACACATAGTGGGCACTTCATAGACGGAGGGCAGCCCTCACCTTGTCTTGAATGGTCTCATCCCTCTCCTGGATCTCTCTCTTGAGGCTTTGGATGTCCTTCTCCAGGGTCTTGATGACCCCCTGCAGCTTCATCTGCTCTGCCTTCAGGATCTCAATGTCGTTGGTGCGCTCTTCGATCTCCTTTTGCAGGCTACTGAACTGAGAATAGAGCAGCAACGAAGACCCTTGGGGTCTTAGATCTGATCCCCATCCCCCAGCTCAGCTGTGGATGGGGCTGGCCCTTCTCCAGGGAACTAAAGCCCTCGTTGCTCAACATCCATGGCCTTGGGGAGTGAATTTTGTTTATTTGCTGTTATTTTATTTTTTGGGGGGGGGCAGTTTTGTAAATTGCAAAATAGATTTTGTCCACACTTGAAAATTTCATGCTTGCATATAATGTGCTGTGCTCATATTCACCCTCCATTACCCTCTTGCTTCCCTCCCAGTTAGACACACGCGTCCCTTCTCCACAACTTCATATTTAATTTTCCCTTTCTTTTCCTCCCTCCTTCCCTTCTTTCCTCCCTCCCTCCCTCCCTCTCTTCCTCCATCCCTCTCTCTCTCCCTCCCTCCCTCCTCTCTCTCCTTCTCTCCTCCTTCCTCTCTCCTTCCCCTCCTTCCTTCCCTCCCTCCCCCTCTTTCTTTCTTCCTTCCTTCCTTCCATTTTTTTTTAAACCAAGACAGGGCTTCTCTGTGTAGCCCTAGCTGTCCTGGAACTCTCTTTGTAGATCAGGCTAGTCTGGAACGCAGAGATCCACCTGCCTTCACCTCCCTAGTGAGGTGTTCGTCATTACCACCCAACTATTTCCCTTTTACTTTAAGGTGACAAGCTCTTTTGACATAGCCAGACTGGCCTTGAATGTGTAATCCTCCTGCCTTGGTGCCTAAGTACTGGGATTATAGGCATGGGCTATTATGCCAAACTTGTTTTTTTTTTTTTTTTTTTTTCAGAGACTGGGTTTCTGGAGAATTTGGGGCAGTTCGGTATCTTCCCAGGTCAAACGAGTGATGTGAGTATCCAGGATAATAATGCCTAGGTCTAGTCCCTGCAGGAGAGAGCAATTTGCCTACAATATACTTTCGAGAGAAGCTCTCTAGATAGACTCAGGTGCTTCTCAGACCACACCGACCTTGAGGGTTGGTCAAGGTCACAGAGATGAGCCACTGTAGCCAGTCCAGGAAGGGAGCGTCTGCTTACTCTGGGAGTCACTAACAACAGTGCAATTTCTACCCAGAAGCTTGGATTCCCAATGCACTTGCTCTGAACTCAGCTTCTCCATGGCCAATCATCTTAGAACTGAAGCAATTCCTCAGAGGTCTGTGAATCGCATCCTCGCTCTCTGAGCCATCAGAGAACCAAGGAGCCACCTTATCTTGCAAACAAAGCATCTTATAACCTACCCTCCCCCACCCAGGCTGAATGGCTGCCTGTCTCAGCCTCAGACCTCATTTCTATTCCCAGCAGATCCTACTTGTCCAGAAAGGAAAGATCGGAGCATCCTGGACACAGGGAGCCCGTGAAAGGGAAGGAAGGAAGGAAGGAAGGAGTCAGGTATGGTGGGATGCTCCTGCAATCCTAGCACTTGGGAGGAAGAGGTAGGAGGATCACGTGTTTGAGGACTGGGTTTCTCAGTGAGATATAAACCAGTCTGGGATACACGATAGGATCCTGTCTCATGCTGATTGCTCCCCAAAGAGGAGGGAAAGTCAGATGTGGTCCTTTTTGGGGGTACCGTCCTTTTGTCTTGGAGGCGGGACTTCTGTGTGGCCACCCAGGGTTATGTGCCTCTTGCCCCTTGCCCCCAGCCTCCCCTGGGATGCTCCCAGGGTCCACAGCAGGCTCACCTTCTTCCTCATGATGCCCGTTTCTCCCTTGAGCCGAAGGTTGGACTCCTTTTCATCTCGGAGCTTTCTCTCGTACTTGGTTTTGATGTCTTGGATCTCCCTGTCTTCATCTTCTTCAATCTGCTTCTTGGTTTCCTCAAATTCCCGAAGCTGCTGTCGAACATCTTCCTGCGCCTGCCTTGGAGGGAGGGAGGGAGAGAGGGAGGGAGGGAGAGAGTGGGGATAAGGGGCTGGGGTGCTGTGCTGAGAGGGCCTGGGATGGCAAGAGCACAGGATCCTTTCTTGAGGAAGGGAAGATGAGTCCAGTTACAGAATGGAAACCGAGGCCCTGTCCTGTCTCCTGTCTGTCCACTTCCCTCCCGGTCATAGGGTCCATCACCTTTTTACCTCTTACCAGTACCCCACATCCTGATCCTGATGCCCTGTTGTACTTTTTATTTTATTTTATTTTATTTCATTTTATTTATTTATTTAGATCAAGACAGGGTTTCTCTGTGTAGCCCTGGCTGTCCCGGAACTCACTCTGTAGACCAGGCTGGCCTCAAACTCAGAGATCCGCCTCCTGAGTTCTGGGATTAAAGGCGTGCGCCACCACCGCCCAGGTCCAAACATTGGACCACTGTAATTGTATTTGTAAATGCAATCGGTTATGCCCCCCCACCCCGCCAGATGAGAATGCCTTGAGGGTAGAGACCTTGCTTTCTGTGCCCGCACCGGCACTGGACTCCCAGGGTGTAGTGCCTGTGGCACACAAGAGCTGCCAGGAAACGGCTGAGCAAATGAGCGACTCTAATCACCTCCCCGCCCCATGCCAATCCGTGCTGTCCCGTCTCTCATCCCGGGATCACCTCTTCTAGAAGCGTAGTTTTCTCCTGGAGCTTGGCCTCGTAGAACTCGGTCAGCTCCTCCAGGGCCTGGCTCTTGGTCTCGTCGTTATCCCGAAGTTGTTTCTCGTACTCTTCCTGCATCCTCTGGGACTTCAGCTGCAGCTCCTGGTATTTCTCATATTCCAGGAGCAGCTTCTGGTTGTTGCAACATTCTGGAGAGAGACAGATGGGTCTGGACGCCATGTGGGCCGGCAGCACCAGACTTCGGCGCACGCACGGCCCCCAGGTGCTTTCCTGCTCCTCCCGTGCCAGCTGGAGCAGTCGCCTCTGGATCCAAGGTTCAAGGCCTGCCTAACTCCTGTTATTGGCCCTGCTTATATCTCAGCAGGTGGCCAAGCTCCCTGCATCCAGCTCTACACAGAAAAGTCATTTCTATGAAGGAACTGGTAGAAGGCATTTTAGGGTTCAGGGTCAGGAAAATGTCCTGAGTATGTAATACGGATTTTACAATTCCATTTTATAGATGACCAAGCTGAGTCTTGGTAAGGCTAAGTGATACCCAGACCACACAGCCAGGAAGTGCTGAGGCTGGGACTTGGCAGGCTCTCAGGCTCCAAACCTGAACTTCCCACGGGTGTGTTTGTATTTTGAGGAATGGACAAATACACAGGAGGGAAAACCGGGGTGAGTTCCAAATAACGTAATATATTCACAGACAGAGTCACATTCCCTGACTTCTGCTGTGTCTGAGCCTCTCTCAAATGGGTGTCCCTAAGCTGCCTGTGCCTCGGCCATGTGGCTCCCCCTTGTGGCTCACCTATGTCTTGCAGCTCCCGGTTCTGTTTGTCCAGGAGCTGTTCTATGCGTTCTCGGTGATGGATGTCCTGTTTCTCTTTCTCTGCTTTTAAAACCTGAAACAAGGAGTCGCCTTTTCTCATTTCTACACATTTGTCAAAGGTACCAACAGGACAAGAGCTACTTTTACTGGCAACATCTTCATTCATAAGTTTTTCTCAAGCCCTTACTTTGCACCAGACATTGTTCTGCTGAGACACGACGCATGGCCACCTTTTATCCACATCCTATTTTGCTCTGAAATGTCTGTGCTTTTGTTCTTGATGCACACATGGTAAAATGGACTCGTCAGTGAACGGTTTGGGTTTGGGTCAAGTAGATTTTAAGGAGAAAAATCAGGGATTTATTCCAATCATCTACTGTTGATAGCTGGGTGTGGTGGCTCATACCTTAGATCCCAGCACTTGGAAGGCAGAAGCAGGCAGATCTCTGTGAGTTCAAGGCTAGCCTTGTTTATACAGTTTCAGGCCAGTCAGAGCTACAAAGTGAGATCCTGTCTCAAAACCCAGACTAAACCAAACCAAACCAACCAACCAACCAACCAACCAAACAAACAGAAAAACCCCAGCAACAGCCCAGTTGTGTATGGCTGGCACACGGCTGTCAGTTCATTCAGGATGCTCACATGCACCAACCTGAGCCAGCCAGCTCCCAGTAGCCCGAGGGTGCCAAGCCGCCGGAACCTGGCTTTGTGTTTGGTTTATGAACTGAACTAACGCCCGGTTGAATGAATTATAAATAAATGGATGAGTAAGTTTAACAGCCGAGGGCTTTTTAATCAAACAGATCCATGAAGATAAGTTACCAGCACAACTACTCCTTGAGCCAAAAGATGGGCGGTTGGAGATGAGGGGGCCAGGCAGATTTGTTAGCATAAAGACAGGCTAACAAATACTGGGGCCTGTGAAGGGCCGCATCCACATGCTCCATTACAAGATGGCGCTGGCATCCGGTTTCACCGCCAGGTGAACGCACATGTGCCCGGTAACTTTCCACTGCTGTCCCTGCCTACTCCCGAGGCTTCACCTGGGCTAATTGGGCAGCGGACCAATCCAAGGGTGACACGTCCGAAGCAAGGACTGTTTCCTATATAAAGGAGGGGTTCCCTCATTTAGGGGTCCCCGGCCATGTTAGCTGATGCTCTCTCTCTCAGGACGCATTAAAAGCTTTTCTGCAGAAGAATCCTAGTGTCCCGCGTGGTTCTTGCTGGCGAGACGACAGCGTGGGACAGGGGCCAGGCCAATGACAAACTGCTAAGACAGATTTTATTTTTGACAATCTAGAAATCAACACACCTGCCAGGCCCTTCCCTAGCACCCTCCTTACTTCATATTTTGAAAATGAGTATTCCCTGGTCACAAAAATAACAGGTTCTCACCGTGGAAAATCTGGAAATTACAAAAGTATATTAGAAATAAAATGTGAGTTAGCCCGAAGAGCAGCTTTGCGGGATATATTCGTCCTGCATCTCTTTCCCATGTACCTGTTTCACCCAGCAGTACCGATCCTATGGAAAGCTTTATTTTCTGTCTGCCCTAGACACCTCCTCCAGCAGCCGGGCATCACAACTCAACAGTACGAATGCCCTTAGGCCATGCAGTTGGCCCTGTGCTCAGTAACATGGAAGCTGCTTATTGCTGAGGCTGCGGGGTCCGGGCTCTCAACCATACCTGGTTTTTCGTCTTTAAGGACTCCATCTCCTGGATGAACTTGTCCGTCAGCTCCTTGATTTTCTCCGAGTGGTTCATATCCTTCAGCCGAAGCTGATACTCGTTCTCCATTTTCAGTTCTTCCACGCGTGTCTTCAGCTCCAACATGACCTGAGCCTTTGGGAGAAGCAAGCAGAATTAAGAGGGCTCACAGAAGGGGGAGTCAAAACACCGAAACCTGGGACCCTGGCCTGGGACCTGCTGCTCTTGCTTCAGATGAAGTTGGTCCCTGTTAGAAGTTGTCTCCACTTCCCTTACAAGATATACAGCCGACGGGCGGACACACAAGAGAGTCTTCCTCCATCTTTATAATACGCGTTCAGTGGTCCCACTGTGTGCCAAGAGCACGCGTGTATCTTTCAAAGTGGCACAAATGGTACCTATTTGGTGAGACCTACCTGGACCCTCTGTTTAATCCTGCTACCCAGCCCCTGTTCTCAGCACAAGCTCCCCTTCTTAGCACCATCTTATGCTTTATTTGTTCTACAGATTTTGGCACCTGGTAATTATTGAATGCTTTGCTTATTGTTTTCTTCATTCCACTGTCTTTTTCTTCCATTAGCATTTGAGCTCCCCACAGGCTGATGTCTTTGTTGGTTTTGTTCTCTGATGTAGCCCGAGCACACAGCTGACACAGAGTAGGTACTCAAGATACTCTCTTTCTCTGTGTGTGCTAACCAAACCCAGGGCCTCACGTCAAGAGTTCTACATTGGGCTACACCCCAAACCCCAAAGATACTTGTTGAATGTCCTCATGAAAGTCACGGCCTTTTGAGGCAGCCAGATAAACCCATGATTGTAAGTTGTGATTTAGTGCCCAACGACACAGTCACTGTCCCTACTCACGTCTGCCATGCCTGCACTGGCGTCATCACCGCTACTTTAACGTAGGCCTCAGTTCAGTTTGGCTCCAAAGTCTAGTCACTAGTGTTTGTTTTCTCCCTTACAAGTGAAGTTTCCTGAAAGTTCTGTAGTATTTCCTGAAGAGCCATTGCTGAAAAGTGGGGGAGGGCACAGATGATGTCTTCGTGCTCACCCCCCCTTCCCCCCCCCCCGCGTGCGCGCGCGCGCGCGCGCGCGCACGCACACACACACACACACACACACACCCCTTGTCTTCGTTGGTCTGCTTCCCTTATTTCTATGACAAGAAGAAACGTGTTATGTTTGCTGCTGTACTCCTAACTGGCACCTGTATGGACTTAGCATGGGGGGTACTGAGAGGACTTAGCATGAGGGGTACTGAGAGGACTTAGCATGGGGGCTACTGAGAGGAGGGCTGCCCACTCAGGGTCCTCATGTAGTTTGGTGCCAATGGGAGGTAGAGGGAGAGGAGTCTGAGCTTGGAGACCACTGGAGTGTCATGTATAAGTATGGGAGGTGGCACTAGAGGCCCTCCAAGAGCCTCAGCTAGCCTCCTTGAGCTGGCTTTGGTGTTCTGAGGGCTTTCTAACGATGGTGCGCAGCACAGAATACATTCGTGTGAGGTGACTAGCTGAGATGTGACTGCAGAATTCAGGTGAGAGGTGCTAGGGCCTTGAGCTGAGGTGGGGGAGGGAATCATGGAGGAACGGAAAGAAAGAAATACCAGAAACTGTGGTGCCTGACTGGCTCTGTAATGCCAAGAGAGGGCCATGGTGGAAGACTCCCCAGGTGACTGGCTGTACCAAAGTGCTGGGTTTGGCTGGTCTGGCTTCCAGAGCCTCAAACAGATGCAACAGTACTGCCAACACTGGTGAATGCTCGGCAGGTAGATCAGAGACCCAAGGCCTGTGCCGAACTAGTGAGATATTGTTGCAAATGGTCCAGTTTTTGATGTGGGATGTTCAAGATGCTTGCTCGCTGGCCCTCCATAGTCCGTCTCTACGATGCAGCAGAGTATCTTTCCAGGGTAGGAATCTTCTCACTATATCTCCTGATGTAAGGTCTACCTGTGGTCCTTCCCAGCAGTTTCCAGTCTATGATGTGCGAAAGGCCTCTGTGGTCTCCCTGATTCTCTCCAGCTTCCTTCTCAGCAACACAGTCTGCTCACTGCTGTTAGGCACATCTTCCCAGAGGCTCCCTCTTTACCCTTCCTCACACACTGCCTGCTCCATACAGAAGGCCTTTCCTTCTGGAAAAAGGCACTGGACAGGGCTTGCTTCCTCTGCTACCACTTGGCCTGAGTGGGGTCCTTTTCCTGCCTTTTCATGGCAGGGTTCTTTCATAATATCACAGCTTGCAGCCCTGTTTTGTTTTTCCTGGCTTTCCTCCCAGGCCACAGGCTGAGGAACCCCTCTGTGTTTTTTATCTCTGCACTTTCAGTGACGGAGGCCCGTCGGGTACACAGTTGCTTCTGTTGCCAGCACATGGAGATCCCAGTACATTCAAATGACTGAGTGAGGGAGCACATTCCCGGTTGAGGGGTAGTTGCTTGGAATGTCACAGAATAGAAAGACTGGGAGCTGGCACTGGGGAGAATGTGGACATAGAGAGAGGAGGTGGGGGTAGTCAGGAAGATGCTTGCAGAGATTCATCCTGATGGATGTTAGAGAGGAGGGAGGCTAAGGAACTGGGTCACGCACACTAGATGGTTCCACTGTGGCGGCAGCAGTGCTGTCAGGCCTGGCTGGGGCCAGGGGTCAGGAGTCAGGGGTCAGGGGTCAGGGGTCAGGGTCAGAGTCAGCCCAGTCACTGTCAGACCTTGAGCTTGTCCCTGAATCTCCTGTTTGGCTTCTCTGCCCTCGGGGAAGAATGAGAAAACAGAGAGCAGATGTGTTTGTCTGCCATAGGGAGGCTAGGCTCGCCCTCCCTCCTTCCCCTCCTTTACCTTTCAAAGAGAAAGTTCCAGGGCCCTCTGTCGTGCTGTGCCTTTGTTGTCTCTTTCCTCCCCTGATCACAGGGCCCCTGTCTGGCTTTCCCAAACACTCATGCTGGGCTGGAGAGATGGCTCAGCCATTAAAGGCTAGGCTCACAACCAAACACTCCTGCCCAGAGCCTAGCCAACCACAGGGAGCACACTCAGCGACTCAGACGTTTTTCTGAGTGGCAATGACAGTGTAGCTCTGGGATTCTCTGAGTGCCAGATATTCAGCTTCATTCATGAGCTGTGCACTCAGATTTCAGCAAAACATTGACTGTGTTGAACTTACTGTACTAGCAGGAGGGAGGGTCCCTTGGTATAGTGACTGAGAGCCATCTCCAGATTCAATCTGGAATCAAATTCTGGTCCTACTATTTACCAGTACGGTAAGTTTGGATCTAGCACTAAACCTCTTTGAATGAGATTGATCCAAAACCGTTGAGCCATGGGGGGAGA